AAGTGAGATGCATAAAAAGGTGAAAAGTGAAGGAGAGCAAGTTCTGCAACCGTCTGCTCTATATTCAGAGAAAGCAGCTCCTCTGTACTTATAACTATAGTGTTGTTTTAATTACATTAGCTGCAATTTAAAAAGGCCCTTTAATGTTGAGGAGTACACCATGCTGAATAAACACATTTTTTGTCTTTCTTTGCTGCTAAGATGCTTACTGAACAAAAATGTCTGAATTAGCAGAAAGTAGATGGTGAATATCTGCATAGGACCTCTTGTTACTTTCCTACTGTCCAAATGTATGTCCACGTTTTACTCCCAGAATTAAAAAGCATGAAGTACACAGTAGGAAGGCTTGCAAATGTTGATTGGACAGCTTTATTGTCAGTTGTGACCTCATGTTGCAGTCTCTTTCTATTTAGACTGCAGGGTTTAGTGCAGCACTACAGAAGTACTGTCTGACAAACAGCTATCGAAACCAAACGGGCAGTATGCATAAACAGCAGCCAACGTCCGACTTCATTGTTTTTCAAATGAAGCATTTTTACATCAAGTGCTCATTTGGAATAGCAAAAATATTCAGAATGGCCTGCAAAGTTCTGCTGCACAGGTAAATAAATTAAAAATACTAGTTTCGGCATGATTTTAAGTAAGACTTCTTTGTGTAAGAGTACCGTTTCCTCTTTACATGACTTGAGGCAATAATGTTACCGCTGGTCAGAAGATAACGGGCTATAAAAGCTTAAATGCAGTCATTAAAGGCATGAAGGGAAATCTGATATGCTCTGCCTGGCTAGTTGCTGTTATTTTTGGGTATCAGTTGCCTTTTTTACAGGGCTATTCACAGGAAGGAGAAAAGGGACAGAAGGAATTATTAGGACTGAGGGAGGTGCCAAAATATGGTAGCAGTTTCGAATAGGAAGATATTTATCTTTTCTTGGTAATGCTGTGTCATTCTGCATTAAGACTGTTGCAATGTACATTGTGGCTTGTATAAAATACATTATTGGACTGTGGTACTGGGTTCTTAATTTTAAATATATTTTCCTCTGACTGCCACACTTTCAAACGTGCTTAATTGCTAAAGTGATTAGAGTTGAAGATGCAACATAATTTCATAAGCTTTAAGAGGATTCCCCAGGCTTTGGAGCAGTGCTGATTAATGCACATCTTTTGTTGAGTATCTCTGTTGCATCCCAGGTGTGTATTAAGAGCACTAGACTGAATGAATGATATAAAGCTTTATATCGGACAGCATAAAAGTTGTCTGTTGGACCTGGAGGATTTGGTAGTCAGAGTGTCACGTTTGAAACAAATTGGACTCCTCGAAAGCATCACTTTGAATCCCAACAATGTTGATATACCCTCTTATTGTTTGAAGGTGGTTGGATAAAGTCCTGTATGGAGCCTTTCCTCTGTGAGAATATTAAAGATCCCATGTCATCAGAGTTTCGTAATACAGCACTTGTGCTGGTGTCCTTGACCAATAGCTCCCTTCTGCCCTCCTTCCCCAAGTGTTTTGCTCATACCGTCAACCTTGCTGCTTATCTCTTTTGTTCCTGTGAAGTATTTACGTGACTTGGCATTAGTTACCTGAAACATGTCCTGATATCTGTTGAAAGTTCTACTTTTGCTTTACTCCTATAACCTGACTCCTACGGAAATTTTTGTGATATATTTTAGATGGCACCTCTTGTTTGGTTTCCATGTAATCCCATCATTGACATTGTTGCTTATGTCATTGTTCTGTGGTATCGGGTCTTCTGCGCCAGCCCATACTCGTGTCAGTTTTGCTTCGTAGTTTATTTGTTGTCAAGATAAAATTTATCAACAGGAAAATGGCAGGGTTTGGGTTTTTTTAAATGAACGTGAAATGTATCTCTGTTTCAAATAAATTTGAAATCTAAACAGTGTGAAGTAAGAGACGAGCGTACTTGAAGGCTTGGGAATATTGCTTGATCCTGAATATCTGAAGTCGGTAGATGTGCTTTCATTCTTCTTGAGCTTAACAGGAATGTCTGTATGAGAGAGTACCTTAGGACCATTAGTGCTGGCTAAGTGTTGGGAATAGCTTGCACTAAAATATCATGAGCTAATGTGATATAGTCATCTCCCCTTTAAGAAATGTAAAGAATTTAAGAAAATCCTTCTTTCTTAGCACTACCTTTTTAAATTTTGTCCTTCCATCCTTGTTTATTGAAGTATGCTATCCCCGTAGCCCTTTTACTTGTGTGTATTTGGAGGAGTGGGACTGGAGATTGTGAGGAGCCGGTTACCAACTTGTCTGATGGTATTGTGGAGTAGATAATAAAAACTCTTAGCATGGGCCAGCGGTGGTAAGTCTGGACTGGACACCCCCTGATGTCTTTGAGCTGTGTTGAGATAAATAGGTAGATGTTCTTGGCTAACAGTTCAACACGTGTTAAGACACGTTGTAGCTAAATCCTTTTTAGTGTTATGGCAATGAGCAGTAGTAATATTTCCTATAATTCCTCAAACTCTTTACTGTACATTCAGGTTGTTATTTAAAAGTGGATTTCTAAATCTCTTCTTACTGCTGGCTCCCTTGTTACGTGGTCAGGAATAGCTGCTGGATTTGTTTTTGTTATGTAGTATGCCCAAAGATGGGTTAAGTGCCATTTCTTTTAATGGAAATGATGTTTTAATATCTTTTTCTTCTACACAAGGAAAAGTACTGATAAGACTCTTGACTGCCAGTGGCATTTATAATAGAGCATAGTTCTGCATTTAATTTGCTATAAGGAAGGATATTTATACATGCTCAAAGCCTTTTTTTCTTCTTTTTTAAGCAAGCATATCTACGCCAGCGAACAAAATCAGAGCTTCCTAATTAGTAAATCTGTAAAAGAGAACATTTTGTGATCTTTGATTGACTGGAGTGCATCTTGTTAAAATGTAACGCTGAATTACCAACAGCGTCTTTAGTACCTCACATCTCTGATATCCAAAGATCTCACAGTGCTTTTGAAATGGCAAATTAGCCTTAAACTCTTGGAGGTTGGGTGTCTTGATCTTAAATGACTGTCTAGGATGTGCTAAAACATCAGTTCAACAGTGCAAAATAAAATTATGCAGCAGTTTGACAGGCAGTGAAGAAGGTCTTGGTGAATTGGGGAGGACAGTGGGCAGAATAACTTGGAATTAGCTCTACGGCTATAGGTGAACAACAGCTTCCTTGCACAAAGGCGTTATGACCTGTTTTGAAACCAAATGATTGGTATGTGAAAGACTGCGTTTCAGTTGTCGATAGCTCTGTAACGTTATGGAACATCTGCTTTTAAGAGACTCAACAGTTGAATTTCTGCCACACCAGCTATCTAGTGAGCAGAGAGGTGGTTAGCCAGGTTAGTCTCAAGTCAGGCAAAAGATAAACCAGGTTTGCACCTTTAACTACCTCTCTGAACCACTTAATTTCTGAGGTAGCACCCTGCCGTACTTCTGTCTGTAATGCATTGATGTTCCTAAAGACCACGCTGTTAGGAGTTTTGGCCTTGCTTACCTTGTGATTGAGACAGCACCCCAGACCAATATTGTAGGCAGTGGCCACATCCAGGCGTGTGTGGACATTTGGTTACCTGGGGATCAACTAGTGGTGGCTTACCTTGTGCTGTCATTAATTGTCCCTGGGGAATGCCTGTGCCATGTGCACTCTGGCACATGTGGCAGATTCCCCAAGTGGGGTAGGGGAGGCTGGCCCCAGCAACCTTACCTGGGGTCCTCCTGGGGCTGCAGTGGCATCGATGCATGTGCATGGAGCCTGGCCAGCCGGCCAAGCTCCGGCAAGCCCCCACATGCGCTGCTCTGCAGATGTCTGCAGTGTCACATACCGCACAGCCGTGCTCATCTGGATGCCACCAGTGTGTTCAAATTTGTTCCATGCCCATGATTACTTATTTGAGCTGATGTAATTGCATGCAGTTCCATTGTCTTCCAAACTACTTCTTTGGTATTGAAAGTCTTTCTCAGAAGGTAACCCAGTTTTTCTCTGTTACAGTGCGCATATCTCTCCCCTAAGCATCTTGCCTGCCTCTGCAGAGTAAGTAGAAGTATTACGTAAAAGCTTGTATCCAAGTATACTGCTTTTCAGTCTGCCGCAGTTGGCATCCCTGCTTTTGGTAGAGATGGACTGCACGTGACCACAGTGGTTATTTATAGACTCTTAGTACCGAATATTCGGTTCTGCTGCATTTTGTATTTGTGTTTACTGGATGTGGGAGTGCAGGTTTTCCTGGTGCGACAGTATTGGTGTGCCTACGTCTTGTTTCTGTATTCCTTTGCTTTCTTTGGATGGGTACTTTAGCAATTTGGGCATAATTCCAAAATTGTCATTAGGGCCTTTTATTTTCCCCAGTAGACTTGTGGCAGTGTGTTTTGTTTTTTGTTTTGTTTTTAAACCATTTTGAGTTTAATCCTATTAAGTCAAGTTCAACAGGGCTTGCAAATATAATTGCAGAGGTAAAGACAACGCAAATAATTCCAGACCAGGCAAGTGTGAAACAGATGAGAAGAAAACTGTGACTCCCACCTGGGAGCTCTTCTTTACAAGTTTGTGGGGCTTTTTTTCTGCTGGTTGTCTAACAGTTGCTCACAGAGTTGGTTTGTATTATTAACCCATGCAGTTTTTTCAGTATATTTTCCCCCCCCCTCCAAGTTGTCTTACTACAAGCCGTTTTGGTAGGGGGCTCTCACTGATAAGTGTATGATGTACTGATTCATTTGAGACCTTTACATCTTACTGCAACCTAATGATAAAATTGTGTACATTTCTCATCAGTTTGCAGATAGCGAAAGTTCTGTTTACTCCAGTTATTCCTTATTTGAAAGACGAGCTATTTTGGGGGTTTTGTTGGGCATTGTCTTCGTCTATTGGGGAACCAAGATTTCTGTTTCATTAGGAGTCTTATTTTTCTGCTTTTTGATGCACAGATTTATTGATGCAGAGAAAATGAGGGACTTTCTTAATGAGAATTCTCTGTTTTTTTTGTTAGTATTTTGGAAAGAACAATTAGAGCAGCTGTGGAACAGCACCTTTTTGATCTGCAGAGCAGCATAGATCATGATCTCAAAAACTTACAGCAACACCGACTGGTCTGTAACAATGAAGCAAAAAGTGTTAACAGAGAAGAAGGATCTAACAACCAGTAAGACGCTTTTCTTATATCCATAGTATGCTACTCAGGAGTGATTGCTTTTAAATTTGTACTTCCTTAAACCATGGGTTTTCAATCTTTTTTTAACAAGTGTACCCCTTTTATCTCAAAGTTTCAGCTCATGTACCCCTTTTATATTTTTTTTCTTGTTTTTTAATGTTACCAATTATGTGATATAAGGCAGGCTACACTAATTAACATTAAATGCATTATTAATATATGCATTAAATATTTATCATGGTTACGCCACAACAGTTTGGGCCTGGCTGTGTGACGCCATGTGCCTCCTGCTGCTGGGCAGGTGGCTTAGCCAGCGCATAGGAGGCACATGGTGTTGCGCTGGCACCAGCAGTGGGATGCGGAGTGCAGCCCACAGTGGCAGCTGCCTCCACCTCGCGCACAGATTGGGGCAGCACGTGCCCACTGTGCCTGTCCCAGGGGTGCGCACAGCAGCGGGAGCCCCCCATGCCTCTGGACAAGTCGCTGGGGCTCCAAGTGTCCCGCAGTTTGACCCGGCTCTGGGGCCTCATCCACCCCAGCCCGCTGCCTGTCATTGCCTCACTCCCTCCCTCATCTCAGGACCTTGATCTGCACCCCCTGCCCCTTTCCCACGACAGACCTACCTGCTGGGGTGGTACACTCATGCATTTAGCCCCCCCCCAATCATATTTTCTTCCTCTGCCTATGGGGAGGGAGTGGGGCTGGGGCAGGGACAGGTGCTGCACAGCAGGGTTAGAGTGTGGGACAGAGCTGCGGCTTGTCCAGGGCAGGGCAGATGGCTCCCACTGCTGCACGCACCCCAGGAGAATATGAGGGGCGTGTGCCCCCGATCTGTGTGCGGGGTGAGGGTAGGCTGCTGCTGGGGGCTGGGCTGGGTTGTGCTCGGGACAGGCGGCGGTGGTGCTGGGAGGGGAGGGGCTGCACACCTACTGGTTCCATTTGAGAAAACGTCATTCTTGACGGGGATCTTTCTGAGTCATAAGTGTGGTGATTGGAGAAGCGTCATTTAGAACCTTGACCAGGCTCTTAATTGAATATCTTTCACAGAACTGTACAGCCGTCTAAATACCTTTATGGTTCTGGGTTTTAATTGCATAAGATTGAAAAATAAAGGAAGAGAAGTTATTCATTCAAACCACTATAAGAAGACATTTTCAAATTTTAAAAAATTCTGACCTGTATCAGGAAATGGTGATAGAAGGAAGTAGTTTATTATAAAAAGTTTTAAAAAAACCACAATTAATATATCTTCCAAAACAAATTAAACCAAATTAGAATATCCATAAAGTGAAGTCATGTAGTCACCCAAATCCTGTCATAAGCTTATTCCTTTTGCGATAGCCAAAGCGTGTTAATGGATGGCTCCCATCACAAGGCTAAAGGCTATCTTGTTCATCTTAAATTTCTGTTGGTTTCACGTTTCGGGGCCTTGGGGCTGCATTTCCAAATAATTCTGATTAACCAAGCTATTGAGGATTAACAGACCAATTTTGTAGTAGACATTGACTGATAATATTCCTTCAAGAGCTGATCCAAGTCCTATAAAGTGTGCAGGCAAAGGATTATTTTTGTAATGCAGAAAGCCACAACACAACAAAAGAACACGTTACCCCAAACCAGCTTAATATTGGGTAAAAAGTTTAATTAAGCAAGGAAAAGATGCTTGTTAAACTTTCAGCCCTTCTTGGTAGCCATGTTCACTACGCTTATGATTCAGGTAGCCCTAAAATGTGAGGATTTTTAAATAAATTCGAAAACTTGAAAATGTAAAGCTGTCGAGGGACCTTCTAATCCGTTTGTCTGCTGTCATCTCCTAGGGATGATGTTACTAAAGGTAATGATGATAATAGCTGTGAGAACACGAGAGACTGTTCTGAAGCGCTGGTTTGTGCTGATTTAGACAATGAAGTTATACAGCCTGACTCTGTTACAGAGGAAGATGATGATCAGGTAAGATGAATACATACTCTGCTGTATGTCAGAGCAGCAGGATCCTCTGGTTAGAGTACAGAGTTGGACAGGAGATGTGGGTCTTTATTTATGGTTGCTTGACTTGCTGTCTTGCCTTGTGAAAGGTCACTTGCTTTTTCTACCAGACCTGAGTCTCTTTAAAATGCAGTAGCACAGGTCCATTTCTCCTCTTTTTGTTTGCAACTTAAGTGGCTCAGACTTCCCTCTACTACCTTCTTCCTTTACAGAAACTGCCTTCCCGGTTGGTTGGGTAGGTTTGTGCATGATCAGGCATGGGGGTCACTTGTACCAGCACATGAGTCAGGAAAGATTGCTGGAATAAGATGATGCAGCTGTTTCCTTACTAATGGATTTGAGGAGGGACTGTGAAGGTGACCAGTGGGCCAGCCAGCATGTACTTTATACTGTGGCAGCAGCATGGCGGTAGCGTGAGCACGCTTCACTCACCTGCTGCTGCTGACATCCAAATCCAGAAGTATGGTAGTCGTTCTGCCTGGTGTCCCACTGTGGCAGCTCCTGAGGGCTTGCTCTCCAGAGTGTTTTGAGTGAGCCCATTGGGATGACCCTGGAGTAGCCTCATCAGCATACTTCTGGGTTTGGAGCGTCAGTGGGAGCACGGTGGGCAGGCACGCTTGGGAACGCCCCAGCTAGAGCCTGCTGCTGCTGGAATGCAGGTGTGACTTTACTGACAGCAGTTTTGTGCTTGTTCCCAGGAGTAGTTGGGGAAAGAAGGCAAGTTTTTGTCACTAATGCATTGAGTTCTCCTAGCCACACCAGTAGCTTTGATACTTCCCTGTGCTTGCCGTGGACGACTTTGTGGTGGGGACCTGTTCCTTTGCTTTCTGACGTACTACTTGTCTCTGAAGCAGCTTCTCAATCTCTGTTGCCTTGAGACAATACAATGCACTCCTAGTACTGTTTGGCTCAAAAGCAGCATTTAAAATATTGCAAATAGGTTAAAATGCAGAAAGCAGTTTTTAACCTGTTTTTTTAATACTTTGGAGCAGATCAGCTGTCAACAAACTTTTTAAAATGTGATCTTACTGTTGTCTATTACACTTGAATTGGGTGCTTTCACACCACTGAAAGAGAAACCAACACTTTAAATTAGAACAGATGCATAGCACTATAAAAAGTGCTTATGTTCAAGAACTGTTTGCTTCATATGCCGTCCAGTTTTGATTTGTGCCGCATATTGTGCATATCCTAAATTTCCCAAACTTTTAAATCCTGAACTGTGCTAGCTGCTTTTAACAGGAAAACATCAATCTCCCTTGTGTTTAGGAGTATCATTTAATCTTGCAGGAATACAAAACCAGTGGTGCTCAGCCTCTTGGCCCTGCGGGCCACATGAGTGGCACAGGGCAGGTCCAAGGGCTGGACTGGGGCCCTGAGCCAAGACCATGCCACCCCCACCCAGCCCTGCACACTAGGATTGGGCTTTGTGCTGGCCCTGTCTGCCAGAATAGGGCCCTATATCACCCCCGTATGCTGGGTATTGGGTCCTGCACTACATACCTGATCTAGTACACAGGTTCATGCTGTCCAGCCTATGGGGCTTCCCACGGGTCTGGAAACTTGGTAGCAGGGAAACAGTTACTGATTCCCTGCTGCCAAATTTTCACACCTGTAGGGAAACCCCACTGCCTGGATGACATGGCTCTGAGGGCTGAAGGCCAGGGGTTGAGCACCCTTGTACTAAACAGTTAGTTGCTGATTAAACCAAAGCAGCTGATGATAATATGCAAGAGAACATAGTATTGTCACTTCGGGTGTTTGTCATCTGTCCAAATAATTCCGAATAATCTTTTCTTAACCAAAAATATCACCAAGCGGTCACTGACTAGATCCGTGGTGAACGGGTGGTAGTGATCTACAACTATAGTCTTCATCTCTGTTTTGCATTTTATAATCCTAGGCTGTAAGACGCCTGAGCAGAGACTCTTGCATGTTCCCATAGGGCCCAAGATAATGAGGCCCTACCCCTTGCTTGGATCCCCTTGGCACTACAGTAGTACAGATGATAAAACCTACTCGTAATGTAATCCAGTATCTGAGTTCATCTACTCTGCTCTTCTGGTTTTTGGCCCAACCTGCTGTCATTCAGTTACTGTGAAGCAACCCCAGGCATTTACTTGAGCTGTCGTAAGAAATGATATCCCTTAATTGTTCTTTGTCATTGCTTTTGCATCAATACATATTGTTTAAAATTTTCTTTTGGCTAACTAACACTCCTCTGAATACTGATTCCTTAAGTTTTAATACCAAATCTCTCAATAAAATGTTTAATAAATTGCTGTTGACAGACATAAACTAAAACTGACAAGATTTGGTCTTGGAACTAGCCAGATGGTTCGTTATCTGTACAGCAGGTGGAATTACTGTGCTTGCAAGACATCTACTGAAAGGAAGCCTGACTAGAAGAGGCATGGTTTTTGCCATCTGTCTTTCATTAACAGATTAGTAATTCCTTCTTCCATTGCATTTTTAATTCAAAGACCTTCAGAACGTAACGTATATGAGGAATGGGCTTCTCTGATGTTAACTCCTTAATGTTTTGATTTCTTTGGTAACGTGCAGGCTGAGTGTTAGCAAATCTGACTGGTCTAAAATCACTTGTGAATTAGCACTATTTTCTTCAGTAACTCATAGATAGAACTACTTTCAAAGCAGTCTATGCTGATAGCCTCAAACTTTTTTCGAGGCCCACAGTTGTCAAATGAGACTTTCGAAGGCTAGAACGTCGTTGTATGTCTTACTGGAGTATTGCCAATTTAGGTCCCAGCCCTGAGAGAATTTACACTTGGACACAACTGCTGTCTATTCCCAGCCGGTGTGCCGTGGCACACGGGTTCGCCGTCAGGCACGTCCAGGTGTCCTGTGGCATTTTGGGCTGGAGCCACGCCCCCGACATGCCCCAGGCCAGCAATGCTCACCACCCTCCCCCCGCTCCACGTTTGGCCGGTGCGCCGTGGGGTGGGAGAGGCCATGAAGCGTGCCGTGTGGTGAAAAAGGTTGGGAAACACTGGTCTAAACTTAAGCACGTCTGAGCCTTTGTAGGACTAAATTCTGAAATAAGGTTCAAAATTAATGTGTGCACAATTTAAGATTTTGTCCCTTCCAGCCCTAATGTCTCTCTCTCAGACCGTGTTTCCACAAGATTAAAAAAAAAAAAAAAAAAAGCAATTGTGGTGCAAACTGTCATTTTAAGTAAATGAACATTTAAGTAAATGAAAAGAGTCCAGAGGAGAACCACGCACATGATCAGAGGGCAAGAGAACAGGCCTTATGAAGAGGCTGCGAGTCACGGGACTCTTCAGCCTGGAGAAGCGCAGGCTCGGGGCGACCTGGTGGCAGCGTACAAGTGCATCGGGATCTGGGGGAACGCCTGTTCACCAGAGCGCCCCGAGGGATGACAAGGTCCAGTCATCACGAACTCTTCCAAGACTGGTTTAGGCTGGACATAAGGAAAAACTGCCTTACTGTCTGAGCTCCCAGGGCCTGGAACAGACTCCCTTCAGAGGTGGTGCAAGCATCTACACTTGACTCTTTTAAGAAATGTTTGGACGCTTATCTTGCTGGGATCCTATGACCCCAGCTGACTTCCTGCCCCTGGGCAGGGGGCTGGACTTGATGATCTTCCGAGGTCCCTTCCAGCCGTAGTGTCTGAAATCTGTGAAAGATCCCCAGGTGGTATCTGAAACTCAGCGTTCAGTGCAACACGTTACAATGCTGAGAACTGATTGGAAAACTTTGTGATCAAAATACCTTGAAGTCATCCTCGTGTGTAAATGAACTCTTGTTTTTATAGCTGCTTTTTGTCATGTACCAAGTATGAACCATATCCTTTTAACTTCAGGGAAGGGTTTGTTTGATCCAATAGCAAAGTTTTGTCCCTTAAACATCCATTTTTAGCCTCTTTTTAGCACTGCCTTAAAGTTATAACACAGTGTACCTCTAGAGCAGGTACTCTGCAGAAGCGTTTTGGCTTTCTTTCAAACCAAAGAAATATCATAAGGTGGGGTGTACTAGGATTGCAGGGCAGTGCTGCCTTTGTTTGTCAAAGGCAGCATGCAATTATTGGACTGAAAATTGAGAAACAATGCATTTGATTAAAAATCAAAGGCCAATGTTAGGCAGTCTATAAGTTAATGGGTGCATCTACACGTGCCTTTTAACGTGCAGTCGACTTTTACTGCGCATAAAAAACCGGGACATTATGCTAATGTGCAGTAAAATAATCTACTGTGCATTAAGCATCACTTAAAAAAAAAAAAAAAAAAAAAAAAAAGCATGCTAATGTGCTACTGCGTATTAGCACGGCCTACTGGGCTTTAATTTAGTACCTCACATTGGAGGTACTAAACTGAATGTGCGTTAGATGTGCCAAGTGGCTAGAAATCAAATGCTGGGACTAAAATTGCTAAACGGGACCACCTACATTTCTATCATTTTTCTGCGGTAGCAGGTGGCCATTGCTTTAACTTTGCAAAATTCAGCTGTTGTATCGGTGTGTGTACTAGTACTTGGATTTATCGAGTAATATGTTCAAAAAAGCATTTCCTTCTAATTTGATAGCAGTTCTAACTTTGCCTTTAGTCTTGAAGGCCTCATCTGTACTGCATTCACATCTGCCAGGGCCATTCCCCCAGCCATTAAAATACCGCATTACTGTCCCTGGGGTGTCCCAGTAGGAGTGGTGGGTGGTTTTTGTATCCCTTTATATGTATCCTAGGGTTAGTAGGGAAGCAGTGTGGACATGTTATAAGTTTTCTTTAAGGGGAAAGGGGGGGGGTGTATTATTGTTTGCATGTTTCATGCGTTTGACTACCTTGAATGAGCGACTCGCTTTATATTAAGCAGAAGAAATATGCTTGTCACTATTTTTGTTTTATCCTGGTACTAGTATCATCTCCTTTAAAAATCCGTGGACTCCAGTCTTTTTTTGCATTAGCCTTCAACAGACAAAATGGTCATGATGCACGGCCTTCTAGTGTTGCTTTTGGAGATGGTGTCATACTTATCGTTGCCAGTATTTCTCCATCCCTTTCCAGCTCTGTTGCTGCTTTATTTAGTAACAGGGATTAATAGTTCCTTTTAGAAAGTTTGAGACTTGTTTCATTTTACACATGCTGTACGCACACCTTCGTTCAGCATGATTATCTTTCAGGCTCGGATATAGTTGCTGTTATACCCCATGTTTTCACCTTCCAGTGAAAATGTTGCTTGAAATCTAAACATAAATTACTTAAACCCAAAAACCAAACGGATCAACACACAGTTATGAATCGGCTGAAAATCGAAGGCTGCTGTTGTACTCTTGGGTGTGCTGCATGTCATGTATGTCCTTATTAGTTGTATAGGGGGCACCTGGTTACTGATTTCATCTGAATATAAAGAAATTGTGTTTTGTGCTGTGATTGGGGGTAATTAAAGACATTATTTCACCTTATAAATGCCATTCTGAAAAATGTCTAAAATTAGACTTCTGCCAACAGACTGCAGGTGTATTGTTGAAGCCATGTAATGAAGATGAAGAGACAGATGAAGAAAATAATAGTGAAAGGTATCCTTTTTAGTATTGATACTGAAGTTTGGCCAATACAGTTTCTTGACAAATGTTGGCTTTGAAAACCTGAATTAACCGATTCATGGTAATTGTTGGCAGCACAATATAGCATATGTAGGAAAGGAAACAAGTAGCATGTATTGACCTTCAGCTTAAAAATAAGAAAGGGGAAATGGGAAAACTTTACAACGTTGGCATCCCAGGTGTAAAATATTTTTTGCTCCAAAAGACTTGAGCCAAAATCCAGATTGCTTATCTGGCTTTGCACAACCCCGTGTCCTTGGGAGGAAAGAGAGGGCAGAAAACTTTTTCATAGCAATTTTGCAGCTAGAAATAGATTTTAGTGGCATTTTAATAAAGTGTTTGTATTGTATTTTGTTTGGGTTTTTTGTTTCGTGTTAAATATGTCATCGCTATGCTACGATGGGGAATAGTAGAATAAAGGATAAAAATATTAAGTCTTATTCATTACCCAAATTCTTCTTCAGCAGAATAGCCTCCATTCCCTTGGTTGGTAAACCTAGAATAGGAATATTGAAGACCTCCAGATAGGTATAAAGACCTCCAAACAATTTGCCAGTCTTCTAGGACAGGGGCTCTCAACTGGTAGAGGTGCAGTGTGTGGGTGACAAAGGTGGATATGTGCTACCTCCAAATGGAAAACAGCAGAGTGCTTAGTGCAGTGCTGCAGGCAGGCTAATTAGCAGTGGTGAACAGGGATAATTAGCTCAGTTGTAACACCTGCTCGTCTGCTTTTATTGTGACATTAGCATGTACAGGACAAACGTAGCTGTGTCTGCAGCCTGTCTGGCACGAGGATCCTGTGGGGGTTTGGAAGAAGGTTGGATGTGGTGGGATAGGTGGCGTTTTGGGGTAGGCAAGTAACGTGGCTGTGTAAATGCCTGGAGAAGGTGGTCTTTGACATCAGAAAGGTTGTGAATCACTGGCCTAAATTAGGGGTTGACAACCTTTTAATGGCAGGCCAAATTAGTGCAGCTTGCTCGGAAGGCAGACCGCCCCTTGCAACTTGGCTGTCACCACTTCTTCCACTGCTGAATTGCTGCTGATGTGCTCTGAGTTGGCTGCCACGGTCCTTGCTGCTGCCATGCTCTTGAGACACCTGTCACTCCCATTGCCACCAAATTGCTACAGACATTCTGACTGTGAAGGCTGAATGGAAATCCCTGGCGGTCTCGATGCAGCTGCAGGCTGTAGGGGCATTTATACATGTGCTCGGGGGGGTGCTTTAATGTGAGCAGCTCCAAGAGCCGCTAAGTAAAGTGCCCAGAGTGTCTTGTGTATCAGTGTCACCATGCTGAAAAATGGCAGCAGGGGGTGCTTTAAAGCTCGTTGAATGAGCTTTCGTTAAAGCAGCCATGTCCTAGCAGACTCGATTAATCGAGTATATAAAGATGGTGGATTAATAGAGTCTGCTCTGATGTGCTGTAATTACAGTGCGTTGGCATAGCCTCACTGCATGTCTATAGGTGCTCTAGGATGCAAAATGACTGGCCTATCACTATGTAATACAGTGCTCTAATTAAGAGTGCAGAGAAGAAGATGAATAATGGTTACTTTTGATTAACAACTTCTAGTTTAAATCTTACCCTTCTGTCTCTTACTTTTAGGCAAGGCTGTATATTGCTTGATGACAATGATAAAATGTCTTCACAGTTGCTTATGGTAAGAATTTGTGGCTTTCGTTTGCTTTTCCTCTTCTGTGTAGGTTAAGACTAGTTGTAAACAGTTTTTTCTGTGATGGCAAATTTGCGTTTAGGATTTTAATAATCACGTGATGTGACCACGTGTAGAGAGCAATGAAATATGCTTTCGTGACCTCTTAATTTTTCAGGTGTCTGACTTCCTTTTGTTTGTTAGATATTTGCCTGTTCTTTACATTTCCAAAATGCTATACAAATTTTATTTAAACCTTGTGTAATAAGGTAATATCCTTGTTTTTCAGGTAGGGAAGCAGATAGGTTAAGCAACACAGGACATGTAACAGCAGTGCTGGAATTGGCATGTTTTACGTACCCAGTGCCTGGTTACTAGATGTTGATGAAAATAAAATGTGCTATTTATTTAAATACAGGATTCTAGTAGCAAGATTTGTGATCTGAATGCAAACACTGACTCAGAGGTGTCAGGAGATGGACATATTAATGTTTTTGAGGAAGCAGTGGGTATCCAAGCACCACATCTAGATCTGAAGGACATATCTGATGGTGACAAATGGGAAGGTAATTTTTATTTTTAAGTTTGCAGAATATTAAAAATGATCATTAGGATATTCTAACTTAGTACAGGCCACCTGACAGCCACCTAATTTATTACTACAAATAAGCTCAGACTTCTTAACCAAGGTAGTGTTGATCCATAGCCAAGTTAGGACATTTCATAGCCGAAGAAGAAGAAAACAATTTTTTTGAGAATCTAGTGAGACAATGCCACCCTTTCCACTTCCATAAGGAAATACCACAATTTCAAGCTAGGATTTTAATGAGCCCGAGTACTTCAATAATTACATGCGTATTTTGAATAGATTATGAAAGGGAAGGTGAGAGAACTTTTTTTCCATGAGTAACTTTTCAAATACTTGTCTTTAACTGGGCATGATGTGAAACCTGTATGCTTCTTTAAAAAAAAAAAAGTTTTCATCTTTTATCATACAGTAGGTATATGTGCAGTAACTTCCTTGTAAATCTCTCTCTTTTTTTTTTTAATTGTAGAGTTGAAAGTAAATAACGGTCACGTCTACATGAAGCTCTGACTGCTCAGTAGCTGATGACTACCATGCAGTAGCATCACAAGGCAGGAAGCATGACGTGACGCTGCTGCACGGTAGTAACGAGTTACTGTGCAGTCAGCGTTGTGAAAAACCGTTCAGCAATGCTACTGTGTGGTAACTCCGGGAACTGTGCAGTCACTTAATACCAGTTTATACAAGTACTAAATGACTGCAGTAATGAGTGCACAGTCAGCGTCTTGCGTAGACATGGCCAATAAAATGCATATGCAAAATTAAGGCAATAAATACCAAAAATGATTTTTTTTTTTTTTAAATCTGATTTGGCCTGAAAGTTAAAATCTTTCTTTGTCACTGTGTCAGGAATGCCAAATCTAGTCCCTTTTTTTACTGGAGGTTCTAAGATTATGGACTGAGAGCTGCTTTTCTCTCTCAGTTGAAGGGAGAGAAAAAGCAAAAGCCTTTTTTTTCCCCAAGTGGTTAGAGGCTTGGGATTGATAGGGATTATCAAAAGAATCTTTTAAATGCAGTTTCCCCCCTCAGGTTTTCCTGTAGTTGTGTGTCCTACTGGTCCTTCACATGCACATAATTGAAAATAAGCATGCAGACCACTTACCTAAAAGTAGTTATAAAGCAAAATAAGAGTCCTTTTGTCTTCAAACTGGGTCTGACCTCATGTTGAGAGAGAGAGAGAGAGAGATCTCAACATGAGGTCAGACCCAGTTTTATATACATTACTGATAGATTGATTTTTAAATCAAAACATCTTGGGTAAATGGAGGTTAGACACCTTAGGGAAATATAGTAGGCTGCCATCAATCATAAAAAGATCAGCCCATTCTCTCTACTCTTTAATTTTATAAACAAAGGTGGCACTTGCTTCCTCCAGTTAGGATAATATAGATAGGAGGGTTAAGGCTATTTCTGTCAGGACAGATTGACTGTTTTATGTGTCATGGCTAAGCATTGATACATTAAAGCCTTCCACAAGTGATTGCAATTCCCTTCTTTTGTTGCTCAGTTACAAATACAAAGCCTTAATTAAATATTCCTAAAGTGTACTTAAATTAATGATGCATCAAGCTGCTCTAGTACATCTCAAATAGCAGCATATCAAGCTTTGCTCGGAAAATGAAGTGAAGATAATTTGGAAAATTGCTATTAGGTTCTCACTATTTTTTATGACATTTGTCTGTGTATCTTACCCCTAATTGTTCTCCACAATAATTCCCTGCGTGGGTTCACACCTCCCCTTGACAGTCTGCAAAACTCAGCTTTGCATCGGAAGAATAATAGTTCTGTTTTTACTTCAGTTAGTCCCAACTTTGCCCTCTTTGATGCTAAGAGAACTAAATTCTGAGGGCCTGCTATCTGATTCAGGAGTAACTGTCAGCAGGTTGGCCCATGCTTTCCTCTTTGCTCAGTTAAACACCCAGGCTTGAAAACTGCCTGCAGAGAGAGGTAGCGGATTTGAGAAGTAATTAATTGTTATTCCCAGTGGCTTAGGTCCATTCCTAATTGTGTGCTTGCTTTGTTTTGTTGCTATGTTTCCTACGTGGCTGTTAACCTCTTCTCATTATATAGTCTCATAAAGTGTGTGGCTTCCACTTTCATTGTTTTGCTGAATTCTTCATAAGAAATAGACCCAGGTTTCACATGTCTGATTCTTTATGATCAGTTTTGTGTAAATGACTTGCAGAGACCGGCAATGTAACCTTTACATGTTCTTGGATTGTGAGCTCATGATAGTATGTGCAAGACTAATTTGCTGTATTTCACTGTTGCAGTTTGCTGGGTTGTGACGTTCTCCAGTCCCCTTGAACATTATGACTAAGATCCCAGTCCTGACCTTCAAACCAGTGCAGACTCTAGTGGCAGCCCCCGAAGAGGGCTGAGATCTGCATGATTAGAATCGATCATGTTCTAATATCTTGTGAACTGAAACTTTTAAAAGTCCGTGACCTTGGGTCCGTGACCCAAGCTGAGCATTATTACATTCCTTCAGAGGAACAAATCACTTGATTTCTGCCTTTAAGGGGGTGGGGGGAACTTTCTACATGGCTGTATGTTTAAAGGATCTCTTCATGGGCGGGGGTTACTTGAATTGCAGTAAATATTGACTCTGCTCTTGTCAGTTTTTTCTAAAGCTGTTTAGTAAGCATCTACAACTTGCCAAATGTCTAGCATCCTTAACTGTTGTTGAGCCTGGCAGGAGTTGAGTCCTCAGGACCTAGCTCCATATAATTAATTGATCAGCGGTATGTTTTCCCATATACTTGATCTTCCTGCTTTACATGTTATGTATAGTTTGTTCTGACTGTGCTGTGTGTTCACTTCAGTATTTTTGCCATTCTTTTTCATTTTATTAGCGCCATGCCCTATCACTTTCCCCCTCATTGATTTCAAAACAATGCATCTGCAGAGAGAAGGGGAGGGTAAGTATGGTTCGCCATACATTCAGTTATCTGCTTTTTGATGGTTTATGGTTTGCTTTCTAACTAGCCCTTCACCTGCTGCCCCTGCGCTTTGGGAACGCTGTGATCTTTAAGCAGACATTTTCTTTCTCTGTATCTTGCACTACGTAAACAGGCAGCTTCCCATAAAAGCACTCCCTTTGTATTAATTTCCTAGTTGGGAAGCAGGTACAAGGGTTATTTTTTAAAGATTACTTTGTGGGTATTATTGTCATGCTGCACACTCTGAACCCAGTTTTCAAATTCTAGTTTTTCACAAGTGACCTTCTGAAAAGTATAATGAATTCCTGGGCAGTATTTGCCCACTTCCTCAGTAGACAGGAGAAACAAACATTTGACAAGTTAAAAAGCAGATATTATCAACCACTTTTTTTAAAGGTGTGATTAAGAATTGGAACAGGCTACCTAGAGAAGCAGGGGAGTCTCCATCCCTGGAAACTTTCAAGAGCAGCTTAGGCTAAATTGCTTGGGATGGGTTAGTTGCGAGTGATCCTGCCCTGAGCAGGGGCTGTGCAGAACAAGCTTGTGACGTCCCTTCCAGCCCCACTTACCCATGTTCTTAAAGGCTTTTGAAGATTTACTCTCGTCTTGGAATCTCCTGCTTTAAAAGCAGTCCTTTTCCAACAAATTTTCCCTTCCTTCTAAAATATCTTGACACTTGTCATTCCTTTTTGTTGAGCACCTTGTTTTATTCACCAAAAAGCCCCAATTTTGTCAGTATAGTACAGGAAGACTTGATTCTCTTATCAGTTTTGTAGAGAGAGACTTAGCAGTTAAAAGATCTCCTCCTTTCAAACAAGGTTAAACAGATGAACGTTGTCCCTAAGTTAACAGTGTCTAGTGTCTCTTTCCCAGCATCGAGAGAGTAATTTTAGATGTTGTGGTACATTTTTATATATAAACCACCCCCCCAATTTCTACTGTAATTTACTGTAGCTCGGACAGTAAATGCACACCTTACTTAGTCTCCAAGTTGCTAGATTTCTGAAAATGCACTAATTCACTGATTTGTGAAAAAATGCATGCCCATACGATACACTTTGAAAAAGGGGATCCTAGTGTGCATACTTCATTTTGAGTAGTTTTTTTGTTTTGTTATGACCTGACAGAATCAGTAACTTTCTAATGTATTTCACTGTAATTATTCACCTTGTGTATGACACTACATTATTAATAGCTTTCAAGATTAAATATTGGGTACACATTTTTGTTGTTGTTGTTGTTTTTTCCCTTTTGTCACTGTTGTTTTTTACTATTTTGTGTTCTTGTTTGTATCTTGTAGAGCCGTTTCCTGCTTTTAAATCTTGGCAGGAAGACAGTGAATCCGGAGAAGCTCAGCTTTCCCCACAAGCTGGAAGAATGAATAATCATCCTTTGGAAGAGGACTGTCATCCAGTGTTGTCACATCGAAGTTTGGATTTTGGACAAAGTCAGCGTTTCTTACACGATCCAGAAATGTTGGACTCTTCATCTAAAGCACTTTCTTTTGCCAGGTATATATTTTAATACGATTTGTGGGAAGGGGGGAAACTTTATTGTAAAAAGGTAATACATGTAAGCTTGGACTTCATTCCTGTTTGTGACTTGGTTGACGAACTGAGGTCACGTAGCATGTGTTTATGTGGCTATTTAGATGGTTACATAGCTTTTCTTTGAGTAAAGCTGCTACCCAAATGCGTTTCCATGCTACACAACCTACGTGGTCAATATAGCTTGGTACTGCAGGGACTAAACTGAAAGAAGAAGTGGGTGCAGGCCTGTGGGTTTGGGAGGAGGGTGGTAAACGTATGGTCTGTAGAGCACCGAAGCAGGGTTTTTCTTGCAAAGACTCCTCTCCAGAGTAGCAGAGGGCAGGCTACTCTTCAAGTCGTGGAGCTTGCAAGATATGGCTCCCCTCCCACAACTTGGAGCAGGACTTTAATACACTTAGTAGACTGCAGTAGGCGTTGAGCTGTTTAATGATAGGATAGCATAGAGTTACTTGAATACAGCTTTGCTAAGAGAAGGACAGGCAAAGGAAATGCTTAGGTGAGGGAATGTCACAAGATGGGAACCATTTTAGAAAACTCGGGTAAAATGGATGGGTAGGTTGAAATCGGCAAGGGCTTCTAACCTTGAAGACAGATGGACAAAGAAGGTTCAATGGTCATTGGAGCAGTACCAACACCAGGCGTTTATATTCTCCTGTTTTATTTCCGGGGCCTTAGTGTTTTACTAGTTAGTGTAGCTCAAACCTGCATGAGTAACTCGCTGGGAGATGAGCAAGGAGCAGCTGTGCGAAGATGCTAGTGTTCTGCATAGAGGCCCTTGCTTACCTTGCGCTCTCCGCATTCTGCAGGTTGAACTCCTAAACTTGTTCTCCAGGGAGAATGATCTTGTTTCAAGTCAAGGTGATGCCAGCTTTCTGGTCATAACTTGGTTGAAGGAGTAGAGCCTTCAAAGAGTGTAAATCATTAGTGTCCTTTATTGTCCAGTGATGTTACTTCGAAAAGCAGCTTAGAAAGTTTCCGTGCATCTTAGCAATGCCTGGAACCATGAAAATTAGAACAGAAAATCCCTCGTGGGACTCTAATTTCCCATTCAGTTTCAAGTGCTCTGTGACATTAGAAGGTGTTTGCTGGTGTTCCTCCAAGTCAAAAGGAAATATAGTTTGGGAAGGACCTTGCCATAGTTCAACTCAATGAGCACAGCTCTCAGCCCCTGAGTAGTCAGTGAATTGTAGGAAAAAAGACTAGCTTCTTATCTCAGTCGGTTACTTTTTGATTAGGAGTTTCCTTTGGTATTAGAAAAATGGTGGCTAGAGGAAGAACTCAGCAGGTTACAGATTATTGGTTTGAAATAAATGAGAAATCAGCAGGTTCAGCATTTCTCTTCTATACTTGGGTCATGCAAAAAAACCCCACCGAACCTGCCTCTCCTCACCTGAATTGCAGCCGGTCTCAGAATTGCTCAGATGACCAGGACAGCATCATTATTTCAGCAAAGGAATTGCTTTTAAAACTGTAAGCTCTTTGGGGCAGGGATGTTTTTCCTCGTATTTGGAGCACTACCACAGATTAAATAGTTAGTGTTTAATGGAGTGCGTGTAGGAATAATTTATTGGCCAAGAGAAAATGCTTTTGGATTAGGTAGGAATGAGCTTGGGCTGTCCCCTGTGTTCTGCTCTTTCAAAAGGTTATTATTATTATTTCTATAAGGAAGACTGATGGGCATACTCTGTCAACAAATGAAGAACTTTCTTATTTTGATGGTACCACTTTCTCTGGTTCGATTCCAATATTTAAGTTAAGAAATAGTACTCTTTCCTTATAGAAGAAGGTTGTGTAATAGCTTAATATATCTTAGTTGTTGTAGTCCACAGCTTTTGGAAGAAATCTTGTGGCAAGAGTAAAGGGGGATACCTCTTAGCTGCGACTGATTACTCGACTGACAGCTTTTCCAACTGCCTGTGTTTTTTACCTGAGCCTTATAGTGAGCATTAATGGAAACATTATATGAGAGAACAAGAAATTAACAGATGAGACCACCTCCCCTCTCTTTCTGCTTAAGCACAGTGGAGTTCCATACACCCTGCGACAAACCTGCAAATGTGCAGTTGTTGGCATTGGTGTCATTCTTCAACAGGTTCTCAAAAGTGGGGTGTGTCTTTTTTTTAATTTACCTAGAACCCGAAGAGGATCTTTCAGTTCAAAAGATGACAAAAGGGAAGACAGGACGCCGTATCAGCTGGTCAAGAAGTTGCAGAAAAAAATAAGACAATTTGAGGAACAATTTGAAAAAGAAAAAAACAGCAAAGTAAGTTACTCCTGTTGCGTTTTTCCAAAGGTCCATGTTGAATTTTATAGTTGATAACTAATTTGAGAATCTCTGCGTGACCCTGCCTCCTGTAGCAGAGAAAACAGTGTAAGAGCGTCATGCTGTGACAGCTGAGGTTGGAGAAAAGCATTCGCTGGGCTGCGTGCAGTGAATTTGGGATGTCAGTTGAGACGCTCTGGATGTGAGGAAGATGAACCAGTAGCTTAGGTAGTGCTTGTATCAAGTGTTGTGTAAAACTTTCCTCCGGCAAGCTTTGGAGAGCCAATGTGCTGTAGTTGTTTTTGTTTGTATACAGCTATAGTTTGTGTTGTCTTTTTTTCTTATTTTTTTCAGCCCTCTTACAGTGATATTGCAGCCAATCCAAAGGTTTTAAAGTGGATGACGGAGCTTACCAAATTGAGAAAGCAAATAAAAGGTATGGAATGCTGCACAACTTAGTCTGTAAAAACGAAATTGCCTTGCACTCAAACAGAAATACTCAAAAGCAACACACAAGGTGATTCGAGATCATTTACATTTTGGTTGCTGACTGATTCTCTTCGCAAACCAGGGGCAGTCCATGCTTGTTTGTTTGGAGAATTGCTTTGAGACTTCGTTGAAAACATTTTGCATGGTAAAGTTCATGATATTGTGGTGCCAGTTCTTTGGTCTTTAATTGTTGTAAAGCTAACTCTGGGTTGGGTATTCTCCCCGCTCCCCCCTCCCCATCCAGATGCAAAGCACAAGAGCTCAGATGGAGAATTCATACCTCAAACACGTCCACGAAGTAATACTCTTCCAAAAAGCTTTGGCTCTTCTCTAGACCACGAAGATGAAGAAAATGAAGATGAGCCACGAGTTATGCAGAAAGAGAAGAAGCCTACCAAGGAGGCTACACTTGAAATCATTTTGAAAAGACTGAAGGAGAAACGAGTTGAAAGATGCTTGCCAGAAGACATAAAAGTAAGTGCAATCAGGGCTCATGGGGAGAGGTGGTATCTTTCATTAGACCAGCAAGATTTTTGCAAAAAAAATTCTTTAATTGCAAACTTTCGGGCACAAGCATCTTGCATCAGGCATTGGAGAAAAGATTGTAAAAGTCCTCCTGGGTAGAAATGAAAGTTCATATTTCATATGATTTCACAGAGGAGTTAAGAGATGGAAAACTTACTCCTCTGGGCAGATGGTTCTGAATTGGTAAGGCGCCTCTCTTAGTTAAGACCCTAGATGAGCCATTTCTGAGAAAATAGTACTGTGTAAGAGTGTGAAATGTCAGTAGAAAAACTTATCCTTCTGTCATGAAAATTAATTTTATTTAAGACTTTGTGTAGTTTGGGGAAAATATCCGAGTAAAATAGTGTTTCTGTTTTAGAACATCACTTCCTGCTATGTTCTTGTTTGCTCCTGGTATAGAAAGGAGATGGTCCTAGGTCTTGGCATTAATAAATGCTTCTGCTGTTTTATTCACTGGCTTACAAAAATGTTCTACTGTAACGCTTTCTGAAATATGCATGTAGCTGTATAGCCTTATCACCTGTAAAACAGCACATATGGAAGAGAATACATCTCGTGTATGGCTAAGGCATTTATCACGTAGCAGACAAGCTGTTGGAAAACATGGTATTTGTGATTTGATATCCATGCAAATTTATTTTTCTAACAGAAAATGACAAAAGACCACTTGGTAGAAGAGAAGACGTCACTCCAAAAAAGCCTTCTCTACTATGAAAGTCAACATGGCCGGCCGGTAATTTTTTTCTTTCTTCCTGAACTTTGCCCAAGTTATGCCCAGGCAGCAGTAACTGGCACGCAGTGGTGACAGCAGCAGTCAATACTGCTTGTATGCAGTTGTCCTAATCAATGTTCATGTCACTATTCCTGATGAAATTACAGACTTCTAAAAAGAATGTGGTCAAAGTCTAAATTTGTGTAACAATACACTATGTAGGACTTCTTTTATAAAGAAAAAAATGTAATTTATTGACACTATGGAAAATACATCTCTGTGCAGTCCTTGAGCTGCAGAATTCTGCCTATTGAATTACAAAGATAAGAGATGTTTCTAAATAAGCGTAATCACTATGTACGATTCCTGGCAAAAAGCTTGACGGGTTATTTTGATTCCGATCACTGAATCTCCCTTATGTTTGTGCAAGACCGTCTCAGGTTCATCACAGAAATAACTGAAAAGGAAAAATATTTAAGTGTGTTTTTGAGTTTGACTAGAAGTGTCGAAATTTCAACACTAGAAATGTGTTTATGTAATTCCTAGGGCTGTGTGAAGCTTGGAGTGCTGATTCGATTCGGGGGAGATTTGGCTTGATTTGGCGGCCGAATCTCTGAATCCAAATCAAATCAGGAGATCAATTAAAAAGATCCAAATCGATTCGAAGCTCTCCGAATCGATTTGGAGATTCGGGCAGTCCTTGCTCGCTGTGGCAGGGAGCTGGAGTCAGACTCCATGCCGGTAAGTGTGTGCATGTGGGGGGGTGGGGCTGGAAGAAAGGGGAAAGGGACCTTGGGGGTACCCCTGCCAGGCCCCATACCCTGCCTGCCTGCTCTCCCAGCTGCTCTGTCTGGCCCCACCTCCGGGATCTTTAAAATTAAAAAAAAAAAAGCCCTCGCTCCTGCCAGGCGGCGAGGGGGCAGGCAATCCCCGCTGCCCCCCACTGTCCCATGCTGCGTGGTGGGCTCTGCCACGAGCCCCATAACCCCTGCCCACTCCCACCCTCCTCCCCCCCATGGTTGCTCCGCTGGGCTCTAGTTCTCTGTTTAAAAAAATAAATAAATAAATAAAAGCCCCGACTCACTGCTGGGCAGGGCGGCCGTGGACAGGGCTGGCAGAGCAGGTGGGGGATGGAGCCTGTTTGATTTGGCCAATTTGGTGGCGGCTGAATCTCCGAATCCAATTTGGCCAAATCCAATTCAATTCAGGACTGATTTGAATCAGCAAATTGAATCACTGTCACTCAAATTGGCTGAATCTGAATCCGAAGTGAATACTAGCCGCTTTGCACAGGCCTAGTAATTCCTAATGCAGACACTAGAACAGCAGTTGTTGCAGTATACAAACAGATCTCTGACTTGGCTTTGTGTGTAGCTATCAGCCTGCCTGCTACTTTCAACATGCAACAAAATTGGTTGCCAAAATTTAATACAACTTTTATTTGGAAGACTTCAAGGGCAACAACAAAATATGGGTATGTCTATACCCAGGTTTTGTTTTTGGATACGTTTGATTTATATATTGGAGCAGAGACACAGAACAGATTCACTGGAAAAAATTTGTGCTCCTTGTAGCCGTTGTTTCTTACGTCCGTTTTAATTTCCATGAATTTGAACTCTTGTGGTTATTAGATAATCAGATTGTTACCAACAGCCAAGGTGAAACACGACAGAAGTAGTTGTACAGCTTGTTCTGTTTTGTTTTTTGGTTTTGGAAGAGGTGCAGGTTGCACCAGTGGAGCAGTGATGTACATATATATGCTCTAACCTCCTCCTAGTACTTTAAGACACAGCCAGCTGTTGAAAACAAAATGTAGCAGGAGAATTAAAACAGACTACCACATTTTAAACGTGTGCCCTTGAATATGTTGTATGGTAGGGCTTGTGCATTTTAACCTGGGAATGCACCAAACAGATGTGCCCTGAGCCTCTTTTCTACCTATCCCCATGATTGGTATCACCAGTCCAGTCACAGAATCATTTCAAATGACTCTGTCCACCACTAGGGCTGGGGATCGCTGGTAGTACCACTGCCGGCTGGCCAGGCTGGCAGTGTTGCAGAAGTTTTACACTGAGAAATTTCCCATTTATAATGGGTTTCTGGCTGCTTTGTTGTTAGAATATTAACTGAGAATCTGGGCCAAGATGAGCTATTTTCTGATGGTCCTTACCTTTCTCTTAGTCTGCTTATTGTTCCCTGAGAGGTGTCTGAATTCATCCTCTGCTTGCGTCTGTTTTATTACTAGACGTGCAATTACGGTTTCTTCACTTTCCTCTGGGTTTTGGCAGACAGACAACACTTTTTTCCATTTAAGCTACTTAATGCCTTGGGAACTCTTTCTGTCACTTTTCTGTAAACCAAGCCTGAACGTTTTATGGAATTACTCACTTGTTGAAAGGATAAATTTTAAACTTCTAATGATGCTCAGTTAAATAAACCGTGCTGTAAGTACAGTGCTAAATTGAGCTGGATGACAGACTTTGTGTTTTGATTGTGGTCTACTATTAGGTGACCAGTACTTACTTATTTCTCTTTATTTCATTCTTTTTTTCTTGGTTGTTTTGTTGGTTTTTTTTGGTTTTCCTCTCTCTCAACTTAGGTTACCAGAGAAGAAAGGCACATTGTTAAGCCTCTTTATGACAGATACAGACTTGTGAAACAAATGTTGACTAGAGCAAGCATTACTCCCATCCTTGTGAGTAAAGCAACCGTTTTTCACGTTTCACTTGTCAGGTCATTTTAGTCTGGTTCTGATATAGCTAGTGTGCAAGGCGGGAATAATTTTGTTCCATCCTGTGGAGTTTCCCTATTAGAAATGAAAGGGTGTAGTTGTATCTGTGTCGTTTGCCTTGATGTGTATCCCCATAGCAGATCTTTGCAGAACACTGTGCTGATTTTGAGCAAATGAGATGGGGTGGGGGAGCCTCTAAACCTGGCTTAAGGTTTCTTTGTGCCATTCTTGGGCAAAGTGACCTTCCTTCTACACAGTGCTGCTGTGGGGTGTATGTGTGTGGTTGTGTGTTTCTGTCCATGTGAATCTTGAGTCCTTTAGCCAGCAGGGTCAGACGAGGCTGCTCTTCTCCCTTCTCCTCTTACCCTTCCACAGGCAATAAGACAGAGCAGACCCAAACATGGTACAGGTGTATTTTTTCTGACCCCCAAGGAAAGAGAGAGCACTAGTATCCATTTGCAGCTTGTGGTTTGTAGTTACCTTCTACTTTTGTATAGTTTTTGTTAAGTCCATCAGCAAGAAACTTCCGTAGACCTTTTTTGTCAATACCAAGCAAATAAGGGCAGCGTCTTTGTCTTCAGGCTGCCAAAGCTGTCCTGTTCTAAATTCCCCACCACAAGTGATGGATATCCAGGATGCTGCTTTGGTTCATGGGAGTTGCTTGTTATACAAACAGAATAACAGTCTATATTGTTTTCCTCCCATGTCTACAACCATCATTTCTGAGAGCTGGTTAAAAGGGTTTTCTGATGGATTTGTCTGTCTGCGTTGTTTTCGACCGTTTCCTGTTTCTCGGCAGCTACCTGTCTGTCGGTTCTCCTTGTCTCTCTCTGTGTCTCTCTCCCTCTGTGTCTCTCTCTCTCTCTCTCTCTGTCTCTCTCTCGCCATGTGACAACATGTTTGGGTTTTTTTCCCCCTTCCTGATCTGTTTCCAAATTTGAAAAGGCACTGTCTCATTTGTTTCCACAAGGTAGAAATTCCTTTTCTGCCTGGGATTTAAATGTGGAATTGGTGTTCTTAATTGTTTGAACTTTTTTATCGTGTCCTTTGCATCATCTTTCTATAAACACGGGGTTTTGGTAGCTGCTTGCTTCCATTTGCATAGCAAGCGAGTGGCATACCTTGATGGCAGGGAACCACCTATCACTTCCATAGAAAGTTAGAGTGTATTTTTATAATGTCATATGAGGAATCTGCGTAAAATGGACTTGAACAAAAATGAATACATTGAAATCCCTGAGTGCTGCGCAGTTGTAACAGCGAGTTGTTTACAGCCAAAACAAGTTTGGTGTATTGCAGGGGTCACCATCAACCAAGAGGCGGGGGCAGATGTTACAGCCTATTATTGAAGGGGAAACTGCCCACTTCTTTGAAGAAATAAAGGTAGGTAAAATGCCTTGAGGGAGAAGGTTGCTGTCTTGAACATGCAGTGAGAAACTGAAAGATTCAAATTTCTGCCTTATGACTGCAGGAAGAAGAGGAAGAAGGTGATTGTTTGTCATCAGATTTAAATGAGATCTTAAAAACTGCTGTCCAGACACAGTCTATCTCAAGCCCAGTTGAAAATTCAGAATCGGATGTTGAAGAAGGTCAAGAAAAATTAACACGGGACCTCAGGCTATCGAGTACCCGAGCAGCTTCTATGTATGTATGAATAGGAAGTGGCTAGCACTGTTGTCACCATTTCCATGCATATAGTCATGACTGTAACGCAAAGAAAGGGCTATAACCCAAAGTGCCCAGTTCCTTTAATAAGGGTTGTTTTTCACTATTAAATGTTTGAGTCCTAGTGTACTTTCTGCATGTCCAGTTAGGCCCTTCTGCTATAGCTATTTCAGTTTCTTAAAGATGTTTCAGTCCATTCTGGGTTGATGATTGAACAATTGTAGCTCTTATTCATGGTCAGATGAATCATTGAATCGCTGGACACATTCTCCATCAGCTGTGCACTGGATGCCACACCGCCTCTGTTCAGAGGCAGTATCAGTCCAACTAATTCCATCCCTTTTTTTAAGTGGGCAGTGGAGAAGGGTTGTCTTCTTCTGACTGTCTGCAACCTGTTGTTTCAATTTTTAGGCCTGAATTACTGGAACAACTCTGGAAAGCCAGAGCTGAAAAAAAGAAGTTACGCAAAACTTTACGGGAATTTGAAGAGGGATTTTATCAACAGAATGGAAGGTTTGTTTCGCTAAACAGTGACTGCTAATTTGGGGCTTTATCTTGTATTTACTACTGTTTTGTACACTTCCAAAATTACTAGCCATTAGCAGACCACTATCTTAGTGTCCACTCAAATGTAGACACCATGGGGTCTTATTACATTATTTTTTCCCATAAAAATACATTATCATTGTCTAAATCTTAAACAGAATCCTACCAAGTGGACCCTTTCATCAGTAATCCATACGTGCATGCTTATAGAGCCATCGTTATGAACAGTTTCATAAAGGAAGTCTTCATGATGGACTGGGTATAACACACATTGTGCTGTGCTGTCTAATAGAGAAGCCATGGTTTTTCCTTTCCACACGAAAACCTGGGTAATGTAATGGAAATAGAAGGCTTTCTCTTTTTTCATAAAAAGTTTTAATTTAGAGTAACTTTTCAGCCAGGATGGATCAACTTCTGTAGTATTCCAGAAGCTCATGCATTGTTTGTGTTTCATGAAAAAGAAGCAGGATATATTTTATCCTGTTTTTGTTTTTTTAATAATTTTTCCCCATAGTTCTTCTTAAATGTCTGTTGCAGATTTTGGTAAAACTGTTGCTGGGCGTATTGATACATGCTGTATCCATTGCTTTTTTTTAATTACTTGCCAGCCCCTATCCAGACATGATGATAATATCAAACCCTTGAAAGGTAGATCATCTTAACCTAACATAAATTATACTTAATTAGGATTTATACTCTTGCCAACTATAAATTTGCTGACAACTATTTATATAAATTTCTATTAGGGGACTTTATCATGTACTCCATTGAAATTGTGGCAAGTCTCTCCCACTGACTTGAGTCTGGTCTGTAGTCTTATGTCTGTAGTCAGTGGTGACCTTTCAGCTTTATTTAGACCACTTTTTATTATTCTTGCTGTCTTCAGGATTTGTAACTAGCAACTCACTTACTAAGCTTTTTTTTTAATCTTTAGCATGAAATATATATCTTTGGAAGATTTTGCCAGAAACGCTGAGGACAGTTCACAAATTATATAACTGTGTTAAGATACTTGTGCTAAATTAATCTCTTCAGGATTTTCCTCTGCAGTATATTTAATCAGCTTTGTTTTTGCTAATTCTAGCTTGCTAGCAATGGAAATTGCCTATTACCAGTGGTATTCAGGCCAAAAGTAGCTCGCCTTGATCTGCTAACTATCCAGCTTTCTTGGGTGTTATTTTCAAGCTATTTCTGCATATCCCAGAAACATAACTGTTTTCTTTTTTATAGAAACGTACAAAAAGAAGATCGGGTTCCAATGCTTGATGAATACAGGGAGTACAAGAAAATCAAGGCCAAGCTTAGGCTTTTAGAAGTCCTTATCAGCAAGCAAGATTCTTCAAAATCAATATAGATTATGTTCCTTCAAAGCATTGAATTAACATGTTTCCTTCTGATACCATAATATTTATTGGGTACTTGTGTTCATTTTGTCATGTACTGTTGAAAGAACCCAGTTTGTGCACTTTTGCTGTGGTGCCACTATAAAATGTTTGAAGGGTAAGTGGGTGCTTGTAGAGGGCAAATAAAAAGTTCTAAATGTAAGAGACTGCTCTATCCAACTTTAGCAAACACAATTTCCATCAGCGTTTTATTACAGATGCAGCTTGTTCCAAAAAGACTTACAGAATTTTGTTCTTTAAGCATTCAAGAACTTTCGAGACTTTTTTGTTACTACCAATCTCTTTTGAATTATTGAGGAAGTTAAGATGTCTCTATCTTAATACTACGACTTCTGTTGCCTTTTTTTATTACGGGAAAACTAAACACACAACTCTTCCTGGAACACCAAAACTGAACAGAATTCCTTTCAAAGGACTGCTGTGGAACGACTCCTTTTGATTTCTGATGTTCTAAATTACATCCACACTCAGTAATAATGTGTATTAGGATCCATGGATTTTGCTACTTAGTGGTCACCTCTCCTTGACAAAGATGACAATGGACAAACCAGAAAGTGACCTTGCTTTAGTGTCTTTTTCGAATTTGGGGAAACAACAGTTATATCACACGCTGCCTACAGGACTTATGTTACTGTTCCTTTTATCGGTTGTTGTCAATTAGTGGTGACGCAGTGTTTTGTCAGAATTGGATACTGCATCTCCCCTTCAGAGGATTCGAGAAACCTAATAAACTTTTCAGTCTGTGGGAAATCAGATGGTGCTCAGACTTGTACAGGTCCAGCAGGTTAGGCCTGGCCGATGTCGGTTAATAATTGCGCTGTATCTGATACAAGTGCGTATATCAAGGGCTAAAGTCATTGTAGCCATTGTACACCTTATGGTGGACGGGGTCAGCCTTGGAACGGGAATTGCAGCTGTGTCACAGTTCTGTCACGCAGCTGGGGAACGAGTAGAAGTGGTTTTACCCTTGTGATGGAAGCGATTTAGTTTAAGGGCCTTGCATGATTCAGCTTTGGAATTGAAACTAAAACAGTGTTTTGATCACATATGCTGGTTTAGCTGGCTTGCGCTATACAATACAACAGCCATCAACAACTGTCTTTTCGATCTGGCAAGAATCTAAGTGTTAATTTTTAACTGGTGCTTTTTGGATTTTTCAGTGTATCAATTTGCTTGTGGCCATGTTTTGCATGCAAATACTCTCACTGCATGTTTTTATGACTGGCTGATGTCAACACGGATATTATTCACTCCGCTTAACGGAAGACCAAAACTGAACTTTCTCACAAAGTGGCTGGCATGTAAACCTCAGACTTCCTGTTCTGTTATGTAAGCATATGGAATAGGTTAAAGTAGGATTTTTAGTGCTCCAGATTTCATCTCTGTGCTATAAAAGACTTTTTTTCTTTCTTTCTTTTTCGTTCTTCCTCTTTTTTTTTTAACTCTGCTTATAAGCAAGTAATTGTTGGGTTTCAGAGGAAAGCACTAAATCTATTGAGCACTGGCAGTTTGCTGCCTTATACAGCAGAAGGACTTTTAGTGGACCCTAGAGAATTGTGAGGTTAAGCTAATCTTGAGACCATTAATCAGTTTTATTCAGCTCCATTGTGCAATGTACACTTCAGTTACTTTACTTTTCTATCAGTCTTCAAACACGGGTGTATCCAAACATCGAAACTAATGTGTACTGTATAGTGTTGTACATGAATGTTTGTGTTTTATATACCACATGCAAAATGTCAATATGCACTATTTAAATGTTTTAAATAATATATTCCTCCTTTATAATGCTTAAATCTATATGATTCCAATATTTTTATAAGTGAGTGAGTGATCCGACTGGTTCCAATTCAGAATTAACAGCTGCTTTGTGTTTGTAATGCAGTGTTTGGCTGTTTATTCAGTGTAGTAGATAAGCATGGCAGCAGTTATGCTACAAGTGTGTTTTGTGCCATCCTTGTTGAGCAATAAATAAATGGTAGAGCTAGGCATTTTGTGATATAACAGTTTTACTTTGGTACAAGTAAAAACTATATCTATATGGTTATATAGATATATAAATATATATAACTAAACCAGATAGAACTGCATTGCTATGTCTGGCATTCATTGTATAGACTTTTATAATAAAAGTACCTTAACCTTTATTGGCATACTTTGGTATAGGAGTTTCCTTTCATGCTTTTTTTTTTTTTAAGAACAATGTCCTATTAAAAAAAAAAAAAAAAAAAAAAAAAAGTTGGGGTGGGGGGTAATGTCTCATTTACTACTTAGCCTAATCCTAAATGTGAGACTACTCTGGGTTAAAAGGAAAAATGTTTTTAAAAAAAAATCCTAAGAACATCACCTGCTTTTGAGATCAGAAATAACATTCACTTGCACTACAACTGACCTCTGTTTTCATGGCCAGCAAACGCAGCCACTTTTGGAAGCACAAGAATGGTTGTTTTGGTTTTTTCCTCTGAAAATCTGTTTTTAAATGGCATCTGTTGGTGTATGGGTTCACTGAAGGTGATCTTTGCCTGGTCTTGTAAGGCGGCTGTTCTGCTGCATTTTGTTGTATGGGGATATTGATCTCCTCTGGATTCTGAGTACCACATTTGCTCCTCTTTCTGTAACCGTACAAATCCAGTTCTGCATCCTGAGGCTTAATAAAATAGATCCACTACTGCCCTGGTTTCCTACTTAAGCTTTTGGAATCAATGATGCCTAATAACTTAAACTTCCTCAGTGTACGAGGAAGCATTTTGAAAAAGCATTTATCTATGTGGATAAGAAACCTTCCTCGACTAGAAATAAAATCTAGCATTTAATGTATGAGAAACCCAAACAGATGGGCTCAAGGAGAAAAACAGATTGTTCCTCAGCTGCTGGTAAACACCTTAAACTAGAATTGCGCTGTCGGATGTGTACTTGAGACAGGCTTGACTTCAAGAAGACCCCATCTTGTGTACTTTGCTTTTCATGGGGCTCTGCGAGGCTTTAGGATGGTGAATGAACTGAATGTTGGGACCTCTGCACATGGCTGTGGTTATTGCCTTTTTAAAAAAGGGCTTTGCCAAAACTGAGATGACAGCTGGTGACTTCCGAAGCTGCAACAAAATAAATGATATACGGTGTGAGGAAGAGCAGGCTGATGCTAGATATTAACTGACTAACTTGATTCATGTGGAATAGTCCCTGGAGCCTCTGAATGCAAAGGGAAGCTGCAAGCTGCCATGTGGCACCCCTATGCCCCTCCACAGGTATCTGGGTATCTGAGGGGAAGGAGATCCCTTCAGCAAAGGTCTTCATTTTCTAGTCGGTTCAAAAGCATTTGAGCCACAGGCCTGTCCTAAGTCAGCCTTTGTAGATGGAAGAGGGTTTCCCCTAGCAATGACCAAAACACTCGCCGATTGTTTCCAGGAGGACCTGATGGGCAGAGCTGGGCGAGGGTCAAGCGGGCTTTAAGGGAGGCTGTGGGAAAGCGGCTGAGGTGCTTTAAAGGAGGCTGATGTGGAGGAGAGAGCTGGAAACAGGCTAACCCACGTGCAGGGGCTTGGGGCAGGGGGAGCAAATGTGAAGGGAAAGAAAAGGACTTGGTGAGTGTGGGGCAGCAGCCTGGAGAAGCAAGCAGGAGGGGCAGCTGCTTATCCTGGCTCACTAGTTGCTTTGAGGTTGAATGTGAAACCCAAGGTTGTCACATTTTCCAGCTCCAAAGTGAAGAAAACCCCATGGGCACGGACAATGTTGACTTGAGCAGCAGGAGTGGGCACGGGGCTGGGTGAGGGGAGCTGCTCCTTTGGATTCCCACTTGGTTCTCGCAGAGCCCTGGCTTGGTCTCCAGTGTTACTTGCTCTGGTGATGGGAAGTCTGAGCAATGATGAAAAAAACAGCACTTGGAAAATGCTGAGAGGTGCTGCACATCCAGCTGCTCTGGAAGAAGACAGGTAACGCCTTTCCCAGTGCAAACAGCCCTGCAAAGTCAAGTCCCAACCAAAATAACGAGGACGCGGTCTTTGTAGCTGGGGAAAGAGACTGATGGGCTGTGTTCCCATCGAGGCTAGCACCTGGCCCAGTGCAAAACTTGCATTTTGTTTCACCATCTAGCTGTTTAAGGGTCTGTGGGGACTTGTCACTTGAGGGTCATGTGACTGCAGCCTGGCAGCGGGGCCTGCTGGGAGAATGGGGCCAGGCTATAAAAAGAGCTTCCTGTTGCTCAGGCCAGTGGCAGAAGAGTTTGGCCTGGGAAGGGTTGAGGGCCTGCAAGAGAGAGCAGCTGCAGTGGAGCTGGGGGTGCTGAATAGTCCAGGATGATTACAGCACTGAGCCAAGAGGCCTGCATCGCTGGCTCCTGTTGCATGATCCAGAGCCAGGGGAAGTGGAGCCCGGCTGCGACCTGACACGAGGGAAGTAAGTGCCCTATTGTGGATTCCTACCACGGAAGCAGCCGTGATTTAGCTGGGCCCACTTCTGCAGTGGGCGAGGCAGTTCTTTAGCAATAATGAGGTGCTGCCGTGGATGGCTGTGTATCAACATCCTGACCACACCTCATGCCAGGTGAAAATCAGAGTACTGATCGATCCCATGAAATCTGTTTCCAAATGGCAGAGGTAAGAGTGCGTGAGCACAGCATAACAATGTGTTTGCACTGGAACAGCCAGTCTTGACGGGGAGGGCGATTGGCCTGTGGCTTTTGACAAGTGGAAGTGGTGATAAAGCCAGGCAAAGCAGGGGAAAGGAGGGGCAAATACATCTTTCTGTTGCATTTGCATTGGGTCAAGCCTGTTTCTGGCACTCCTGAGGTTCCTCATGCACTGGAAGTTGAGAGCTGCCAGCTGTGCACCTTGCTGAGGGTCCTGAGACAGCTGCACCCTGTCACAGCTTGTTGATCCCAATGAAGTTCATGCACAAGAATGACCACGGTTGTATCGTTGCTGCTGATCATTTTGGGCTGCAGCATTGCAGTGATTTGGGGCAGTCGCTTGCTGGTTTTGTTTGCACCCAGCATGTTGTGGGAGAAGCTTGAGTATCCAGTCCTCTCTGTGTTTCTGGCTCTAGAAGTAGGGAGCCTGAGGCTGCCAGATGAGCAGCAGGGACCGGGGAGGGGCTCAGTCACCGAGCAGTTACAGTTCTTAGAACAGCTGTATGAACCCTGGCTTGTGTAGCCTTCCCGCTGGCCTCACTTAATAGCAAGCAGTGCTGGATCAGTGTGAAAAACCACCTGATCTGAGCCCAGCTGTATCCATCCTACTGGCTAATGGTGCTGAGACTGCTAGCTTCATACAGGAGGTAGGTGGGAAGGTCTCTGACATTGGAAAAAGGGTGTTTTCACTGTCTGGTATCTGTCTCCAAAGTGAAGCATGGGGAAGCCATATCAAGGTACGAGGACTATGATGAAATTGGGGCTGAAACCAGTAATGGAGAGGGGGTTTGCTTCAGAGACGTGCTGTGCAGAACGATGACACCACAGGTTTTGCGGCAGCATTGTGCGTTGGCTTTAAAGCACTCTTGGTTTTCCGAGCAGCGTGGCAATGCTTGGGCAACGGTCAGGAGATGAGACTGCAAAATAATGCAGCAGTTATTTTTCAATGCTAGCTGGTAACAGGCTTTCTTCTTCCCAAATCTCCCTTTGAACAAAGGCAGGCGGTTGGATGCATTGGCAGTCACCACAGGCAATCTGTAGCCAGAAGGCTGTTCTGGACCTAATTAAATATTTAAGTAGGAACCGTTACACGAGATTGTGCTGGTGGTCCTGTCCCATAATTGGTAATAGATGTACTTAATAAGCAGCCTCTTCTTCCCTAGACCTATGAAGACCAGTGAACAAGCTGGCACTGTATTGATTTAAAGGCATCTCTCTTAATACAGAGCTGTGGTCCACCTTGTTTGAAGATCTCCCAAGAGCCACTCTAATTAAAACACCCCTTCCCGACCCGGGAGCACATGTATAGGTGCCCCAACACCCTACTGGTGTACTCTTGCTGCTCCCAAAAAGGATCCCCCCTGGAACTGAAATCGCTGTAATCGGTGCTTGGTGCCACCACTGGGACCTAGTCTGGGCGTGCAGCTACCGTTGTTCCAGCAGCCACCACCACAGGCGTGTTTCTTCATTAAAGGCTGCAGACACCAGAGAGTCTGGATGTGGATTAAGTGTTGATGGGAACTGAAGTTGAGGAGATGAGGGATTATATGAGAACTTTTGAAATGGAGGTGTCCCGGCCTTAGTTTACAGGGGGAAAAAAACTTGGAAATGTGGCCCTACTTCCCCCTGGAATCTCAGCAGAAAGGCAAAATAGTCTGACAAACATCATAAGATCTTTGGGTCCAATGGGCTGACTTGCGATTCCTGTAATGCGGCTCTCCAGACAACCTGTAGAGACCCAGAGAAGAGCTGAGGGTACAGAATGGGCATGCCGCCCACATGGAATAGAAGAGCAGGAATTGTGTGGGTTGGTAAAAACTCTTCCACTGTCAGTTGGGGGAGAGTGACTGGTGAGGAGGGAACATGCATTTCCTTTTCAGTGCCCCACACAATTCTATTACTAGATAAGTAGATGTGACAAAATGCCAGGACTGTAATAGGGCCTGTATTAGATCTTCTCCACAGGGTTTTCACATCACCTAGGGCCAAGGCAGGTATTGTGGTGTATAGAAAGCACGAGGGATGCGCTCTCTTCAGGAGGGACCCTCTTGGAGGGGACACCGCAGCAGACCAGACTGCAAATTGCAAGTGGCATTGACTATCTGGCACAATCCACCTCCAAACTGAACCCTATTAGCCCTTCACAATTCTTCCCTGCAGGTGTTCAAATGCCTTAGATGTAGATCCTGGATACAAATGCTGTAGCCAGCCAGGATCCAGTGCACAGAATAAGGCTGCTGTTTGAGCAGGCAGAAAAATCAGCTGTGTTGTTGTTCCAGGACCAAGGCTGGTTACCAGCCTCCCGTCTGCCCCGCAACCAGGCTCTTCCAGAGCTAGCTGTGAAGGAAAGTGAGTTCTTGGTCTGCGTAAGAAGCTCTGGGCAGCAAACTCCTCTTGGCTTCTTGCCTCATCTGTTTCTCTCCTAGATGTCACCAAGAACAGATACCCCCACGAACAGCTAGTGGTGAGCAAGCCAGATCTGGGTGGTGTTAAACAAAACTTTGCCCTCCCTGTTGGCTAGCTTGGGTAAGCTTTACAGGGAGGGCTGCTTAGCAAAGACTGCATGGATC